TTTTTTATTTATTTACTTATTAATTTTTATTTTACAAAGCACAACCACGGTGTCAGCACCGTACTGTGCTTTGTGGTACACTGAACTCTGTACAGTTGTGCTTAGCTTTCATATTAGGAAGGCTATGGACTGTCTAATCAGGTGTTGCTAGTCACCTTTTAATATGTGCAGTAAAAGTGACATGGACAGACACCAATGGAACCCTCAACCTAATATTTGTTGCACAACCTGGAGCAGTGACGGCTAATGTTTTTGATTAATGTTTACGGCCCCTGTTCACACCTGAGCTTTTTGTCCTAAGCTTTAAAATGCCGGACGCTCGAAAAAGTACATGGCTTTCTTTTGGCAGTTTACAGTGCATTTTGTCACCATAGACTCAATAGGAAATGCGCGACATAAGAAATGATGCACGTCTTTGTGCGCAGTTGCCCATTTACACCAATATCTCAGGATCTGCCAGGTGAAACACTGGGCTTAACGTATGCGCATCAGACGTGTAGACAAACGCGCAAAAGACACTCAAAAACAAAAGGCGAGAACGTGCAAAAATGCTGACGCCATGGTGTAAATGAGGCGCCCGTGAGACTTCTGCATCTGCCAACAGGTAGTTTGGCCCACTCTTTTTGAGCAAACTTCTCTAGCTGTCTCTGGTTTGAAAGGTGCCTTCTCCAGATTGCATGTTTTCAGTTCTTTCCATATATGTTCCATAGAATTCAGACCAGGGCTCATAGAAGGCTTCTTCAGAATAGCCCAATGTTTTAACTGTGGGTTGTGTAATTATCCTGTTGCAGGACCAGTTCCCTGTAACTAAAATAAAGCTTACTGGACAGTTCCTTTCACTACAAGTACAGTAACAGAACTCCTTGATAGCCTTGGAATTTCATTGTGCCCGGTACTGAATTATAGCACCCCTCGCTAGATGCCGCAAAGCAGTCCCAAAAGATAAAGCCTCCTCTATACAATCACACAAAGCAAATACACTGCTCACGTCCACCTCCACAGTCCAAGGATCACATCTGCTTGTCGGGTGCATGCTCTAGGGGCACGCCACAGCCTGTCGGGCTCTAAATCAATATGAGAAAAGGAAAGCTGCACTCCAGAAATAAAGGCTTGTTCACACCAGATGCAGTGCGTTCGGCCCGATTCTGGCCAGAACGCATTGCATTGCGGGTGGCTCACTTTTTTGTGGGGCAGGAGGGGGGTGCGGTGGTCCATTAAAGTGAATGGCACCGTAGCCACGTCCTCCGGCCGCATGGGGACCGCAAAGCACAGTATGCCTGCGGTCCGGTGCAATCAAAATGCGCCAAACCTAAACTTCTTTCCAGTCTAGGTGAGAATGACAGCCACTGTCCACAGGCTTCTGAGATATGAACATCCTATATCCAAGAAGTCTTCAGGCAACTTCATGAGTTCTGGTCATCAATCCCCTGCATGGGGAGGGGGTTATTTGCCAGCTCTGTTAGTTGCTGTTGACGACCGCGTGGATAGAGGCATCTCCTTTGTCGGGTATTTGTATTCATGCATCTGCTTCAATAACCTGCACCTGATAGAATGCAGTCACTGTTCAGCCGATAATTTTTCACCCAGCTGGATTTTTAAATTTGCGTTTTGTATAACCGGGTGTGGCAGACAGGGCAACCCACTACTTAGATTTTGGCCAATTTGGCAGGAATCTGACATAATTTTTAGCTGTTAATGGCTAGAATAACCTCTGATTCATTGTAGACAGCACAGTCCACTGCTCAACACCTGTAACAGGAAAGTGGAGATAAAACTACAAAAATAGAGATTGGTATTGGATACGTTGATAGATATTTTAATTCTATTTTCTGTGACTTCAATTGGGCTTTAAAGCTGGTTGTCCCCTCCTAACTGTCTGCAGCTCTGGCAAGCTTTTCTGGCATATTTTAATACCCACTTTATTCCAAGTGTTTAGACAATTCATGTGATGTCACAGGGTGCTCTTCACTTCTGGGCTGGGCAATTCTCACTAAAGCAGATGGCACATTTCACTTCTCCATGTCGCCCTGCACTTACAGTATGTTCTTGTCTGGTGTGATTTGAGTGTCATTTACTCTGGAAAGGCTTGTGGAAAAAAGTACTGTGAGGGACATTTTGAAGGCGAGTACTGCAGCATAGACTCTTCTTCCCCCGATTTCTAGATTTTGGGCTTTAATAAGCCAATGATCAAAGTGACTGACCTCTTCAAAACCAATCCTTTTGTGTACTGATTGTTCCCCAAGAGTAAATCTGAAAAGTTGCTGTTCCATGTACTGCTTTGAAAAAATGCATGGGCTGCCATTGACCATTTTCTGGAAATGCTTGACTGTTTTGCTGACCCACTGACTTCAATTCTGTCACTGATATGAAACCAGATATGCAGATCAATGGTCAAATCTCCTTATCTGTATTCATGTGCCATGTCTATGAATTATAGTTTTGAATAAGGAAGGTTAGCTTGACAGGCAAGTAACAACAAGCTTTTTTTTCTTAAGGAAGAAGTCTGCAATTGTTACTCTTATTCCTTTTATTGATAGATTTCTGTAAAAAAAAAGAGAAAAAAAAAGCCTGTTCACGCTTCTAAGTTTGAAAAGGCATGATATTGTGGGCATTGTAATGTCCTGCAGGGGGGCAGATTTCCTATCAC